TCTCTCTCTCTCTCTCTCTCTCTCTCTCTCACTGGCTAACTCTGCCTGTCAAAAAATATTAATTCAATAACAATAGGAATGTTTAAACCGCATTACCTATATACCAGTCACTTCCCTAAGTTTTAGTCACTTAAGCTTTATCAAAATCCAATGAGGTGCATGTTATTATTATTATTCTCATTTCATAGATGAGAAAGCTAGTGATAGAGGATCAGACTGCCTCAGGTCTCAGTTAATGAGTGGCAGTTTAGGAGTAGAACTCAGGCAACCTGGTTCTAGAATCTTTGCTATCCTTGCTCCTTAACACTCTGCCTATTGTTTTTCCAATGGCTATCAATGGCAGCTGACTTGGAGTTGTTGAGTCACCAGTACCACTCACTTCAGTATCACCATTTCTGGATTATGAAATTTAAACAAAGCCCATTTGGTTTTTACCCACACTACTTCAGCTTGCTCAGAAACTGGGAAATTAAAATGCAATGGCAATGACAAGGACAATTTAGTTCATCAATTTTGGAATTCACTTCATAATCATCTTCGCACTTAGCACATCACTAATGTGATGATGTACTGATTCTATGACGATGAAAAAGTAAATAGTCTTGGACAGCGCCGTGGCTCAACAGGTTAATCCTCCACCTTGTGGCGCCGGCACACCGGGTTCTAGTCCCAGTCAGGGCACCGGATTCTGTCCCGGTTGCCCCTCTTCCAGGCCAGCTCTCTGCTATGGCCCGGGAGTGCAGTGGAGGATGGCCCAAGTCCTTGGGCCCTGCACCCACATGGGAGACCAGGAAAAGCACCTGGCTCCTGGCTTCGAATCAGCGCGATGCACCGGCCGCAGAGCGCCGGCCACAGTGGCCATTGGAGGGTGAACCAAAGGCAAAAGGAAGACCTTTCTCTCTGTCTTTCTCTCTCACTGTCCACTCTGCCTGTCAAAAAATAAAAAATAAAAATAAATAAAGAAGTAAATAGTCGTGATCATACCTGCTTGAAAGAAAGGTGTTCTGGCATTTAGTATGGTATTAGCATAAGATAGCTGGTCTTAAATATGAGTGGAAAAAATTATTGAAGAAATGAAGTTTGTGACTTTAGAATGATCTGAGTTTAGTTGATGATTCCTTTAGGATTGGTATGATAAATTAAATCACAAGCGTATTTATTGATAAAATAAAAGAGGATGGAATACCACTCAGTCTGGCTTTCTGTGGTCTAAAATTTCCATGCTCAAATATTTTTGTGCTACTGTTCCATATACATCTAGTAGGAAATATCATCTAAAATCCCCCTTTTGAACAAATTACTTGGGATAAAACCTTGCCTACCTAGATCATATTTATTGAATATTGTTCCTATATAGTTCTAAAGGCCACCCCATACATAAGGTTTTTCTTCTTGTACTCATTTGAAATACCACAAGCCTCCACATCAGCTTCTGTCTAGATTTCTTTGAGTTGGTGTATTCCCCCATTAAAACATATCTCCTTAATTCCACCACTTTCAAATAATTTTTCATTTAATTTATGCACAAAACTATTAAACTATTGTTTATTAGCAAGTCTAAGATTTCCTTGTTTAATAACTCAGTGCCAATCCTTTGATCACAGTCTTCGTTTTTGCTTCAAAAGTACCTTTAAAAAATTAATTCATTTACTCTGATTTATTTGGGAATCAGAGACACAGAAAGGAAAGAGAGAGAGGGAGGGGGAGAGGAGGAGACAGAAATCGCTTCCACCTGCTGATCAACTCCTGACATGCTTGTAAGAGCTGGGACCTGGCCTGGCTGAAGCCTGGGGCTCAGAATCATCTGCTCCCTCCCAGAGTGGCACTGGCAGGAAGGTGGATCCTAAGCAGAACCAGGACTAGAATCCAGGAACTCCCATACAGGATGCAGGTGTCCCAGGGGGTGTCTGCACTACGGCACCGGTCCCTGAAATGTGTTTTTTGTACCTTTTCTATGTACAGAATCTAAGGACAGCAAAGTCGAGGCTCTGACTTTAAGACTGCACCTGCCAATGGTTAAGAATAAGCTCCATCTAGGAGGGCATCCCCTTCACACTGGGGTTTTGGAGCAGAATCACCAAGCTCCTCCCCTGCCTCCACATTTCAGAGGCAGGAGATGGGCCTATCATGGAAATATCTCATAGGGAAATGGTGCCCATGTTTTCTAGCAGGAATTACCAGGGAGAAGCAATAAGTCCCAGTCTTTGACCAGTTCTCGCTGTTGTTGCCATCTGGGAAGTGCACTAGTAGATGGAAGAGCTAGCTCTCTCTCTCTCTCTCTCTCTCTCTCGCTCTCTCTCTGTCTTTCAATAAATAAATAAGTTTCTAAAAATTTCAATTATATAGCTAACTGTATGCAACTATGTACACTTACGGAATCACCATGCAAGAGTAGATACAGTCTGTTACCCACACCCTGGGAGCTTCATGTTTGCTTCTCTCAATTAATTCTTCCTGGGTTAAATGTTCCCTTTAAAATCCCTACTTGCATTTTTATGTTTTGCACAGCTTACATGTACAAAGGAAACTGGTGCACCATTTTGTAATGCAACACATGCACCCAACAAGATACTTTTAAGATTCAATTTTATTTCCTGTTTGCTTTTAAAGGCATCAAAGGACTCTGCAAACAGTGCTGTGCTACCTTTGCTTGGGTGTGTTGACAATGATGACCAATTACTTTCTCATTCCAGAGGAAGAGAATAAAATATAAAGAACACATGCAACTTCAAATATTCCTCTGTTTTTAAATGTACAGATGAATATGGAATTAAAATTTTTAAGAATAAACTCTTTTAAACTAATATGTGTCTGTCCTCTAAATAAAAAAAAATGATGCTTTATATCCACAAACCAAACAAACAACAGAAACAACAAGGAAGAACCTAGCAGTGATTTTAAATGCATGTGTAAACAAAATTTCAAGTATGCAACATTCCTATAGTGTGTCTTCAACACTCATATAGTTAACATAAAAATGTATATATTTTTATTATATCATTTTATTGAAAGTAGTGGAAAGAAAGTGACACCCTAAGTAGAAGGAGCCAGAGGATTATTTTGCAGTATTTTGAGATGACATTTGTATTTTGGAACTGTCAAAAACTTTCAGTTTAATAAATCATGCCAATTAATCTATTTTAGACTCAGTAATCTAAAAGGCTCAAGAAATTTGGTACTAAAATTCTTTCTTTTCCTTGTGCATTTCTACATATCACAAACCTTTACGTTTGTATTTTACACCATTATTTGCATGTAGAATTTTAAAATACACTATGATATCGAAGGTTGACACAGTTAACTGCTTAATTTACTTTTTTCCTACCAGCTTTCCATTACAAGTCACAAGTCTTTGAACTTCTGATTAGGCTCTACAGCCTGAAGGTCCTGAGTGTTTTTCCAGAAGCTTTTCAATTTTTTTTTTTTTTTTTAATGCCTGCCTCCTTCACTGGAATCTGTTCAAAATTTTCTAATGGGAAGCATACTTTAAATGGCCTTGATTCCTCATTTCTATTGTTGTTTTATTTTATTGCTCTTCTCTTACTAAGAGCACTTGAAATTGACATACTTTTGAAGTTTTGTATTTATGATACTAAGTTGGTTGTTTCTTGTTATAATGGACACTCATAGATTAAGCAAATTTGCAGATTTCCCAAACTTGTAATACAGTGACAACGTTTTCAGCAGTGCCCCTTATTGCTTAAAAATGAGGGATATTGTCAACGGGTTTATTTTAAAAAGAGAAAGATATGACTTTGCAATAAAATACAAAAAGTTTGCTAGATAGGCTGTATTTTATCCTTAATCCTGCTTGACTTGGGAGTCTCCTCTTGCATTTTTACACAAGGAAATGATGTCAGTAGCTGGCATCTTATTTTAAAAGACAACACTGTGACACAGAAAATCAGTAACTTACTCTGGCTTCTCTATGTACTACAGCTTGTTTTAATAAATTAGCACTCCCTGTAGTCTCAGAAGAGGTGTATGTTTAGAGTGCTCTCTAATATTGCTATATAGAAAGCTCATGACACTTGCCCATGCAACTCCTGTTTTCCTTCATCCTTGCTGGGGAAGGATATGCGGTCACGCACACTCCTACACACACAGCTTGGCGAGTCACCCTGATCTCAGGTCTCTCCTTTCCATCCCTCATCTATTTTTTATTATTATTCCAGCTTTCTTCATCTTCCTTCCTTCCTCCCCACCCACTCATCCAACCGCCCACTGCAGTCCTAAGTTCTGTTGTTCAATACTTTTCCGAAATGAGTACTTCCCTTCGAGATCCTTTGGCCAGCCTGGTTCCTCCAGAGACCACTGATGCCACTTGGCTCCGCAATCACTCTCAACCCCTGCTTTCCCCTGCAGAGGTTCAGACCCTTCCAACAAGGAAACTTTTCTTTTTATTGTGGAAACTGCAGTCAAGAATCCCCAAAATCAAATTCAGTGAGCTGTGCCCTAAGAAGTCTTTGTCCACGATAACAAATTTTTGCAAAACTGCAATAGCTTTTAAGTGCATATGGCCAATACCTAGCTGACTGCATGTTCATTTGTAATGCAGAAGTACAGCCAAGACATGGAATCCAGCTGACTGTGGCAGCCCACATTACCCAGATTCCCACACCTTTCACAGCTTTGCTGAATGACCCTTGACTATCGGGATGTGAAGGTTGATGCTACACATAAGTGTGTGCAGCCTCTACCAAGCAGGTTCACATAAGAACTAGGTAAGGTGGTACGTTAGAAGGCCAATGCTATAGCCGTGCATTTTTTTAAAACTAGAAGCAAGAGGTGAGGAGAATATAATTCCAATGATTCCACACTTTTTTTGAAAAATGTCTTCTGATTACTCTTAAATTTCAAAGTCAACATACATAATTAGTCTCTATATGTTCTGAACTGGACTACTTGGTTCACTTACCTGTTCAGTCAATAAATATTTACTGGATACCTACCGTGCACCAAACGCAGTTCAGTATAAATGACTAAAAAGGCTTTCTTACCATGAGCCATGCGATGGAACCAGTAGTAGCCAAAGTCAACTCCTAAGAAGGTCAAGTACCAAGTCCATGGGGAATCCCAAGGCAAATTGAAGAGCCTGTAGTTCTCCCAGACATAAATGTAACTGGTTACTTCGATGCTCCTGAAAAACAGTCTGGAAAAGAAAATTCAGAAGCAAGGATTACACCACATTTCATACATAAGATTGTGCTATGGTGTTGTAGACAGCACCTAAATACTAACACACTCACCCAGGGACGTGAAACCTTTCCTCCTTCCACTTTCTGCCGCATCACATTTTAGAGACCTGCTTCCCTGATTGGCAGGGTGTTTCCTTCTGTTTCACAGGCAGCACTAATACTAGTTGTGTGTCCGCTCAACTCTGAGGAATTCAGGAGGCTCTTTTTCCCTTGTCTCTTGAAATACTCCTCATGAAATACTCTGCACCAGCACTGTGGTGTAACAGGTTAAACCACTGCCTGCATGCAATCCAGCATCCCACGGGAGAGTCCTGGTTTCTAAGCTTCTAACCCAGCTCCCTACTGATGAACATGGGAAAGCAGCAGATGATGGCCCCAAGTACCTGGGCCCCTCAGGTGGGATACTTGGGTGGCTTCAGCCAGGCCCCACCCTAGTCATTGTGACCATTTGTGGAGTGAAACAGAGGATGGAAGCCCCTTTTCTTCTCTCTCTCTCTTTCTCTGTCTGTCTCTCTCTCTCTCCTTCTGTCTGTATCACTTTGCCTTTCAAATAAATAAATAAATAAATATTTTAAAAAACACTCTGCATGGAACCCATACAACAGAAGCTAACATAATCATGACCCCCCCTCCTCCTCTTCCTTCTTTTCCTCCTTCTTCCTCTCTCTTATATATGCACACACACCCATTCAATGTTTTGTGGATAGAGAACTTTAGAAAACATGTTGGAATCTCATAGAATTTCAATATTTCTGGCAAGCAACAAAAGCTAGAACATCCCAGATGTTAGGGGAGAATATTTCTCTGGACACATGCTATACAATCCTAGTTTTAGTAACCAATTATTTTTGAAACCTAGATACTAGAATGCTATCAAGCTTCTGCAAATTCTTATTTCAATTATTTTCAAAATCATGATACTATACTACAATTTTATAAAAACTGCAGTTTTTTTTCTTTTAACATTTCTGTGGTCACATTTAAGATCAGATTAAGGATAATTATTTATCTTAACACTTTGATAAAAGAATGAATTGAATTTTCCTTCCATATTTATATTAAAATGTAAAATGAATTGGTCATTTTGCCTAATAATGCTTGATTGATAATCCTTCAACAAGCTAGGGACTCAAAGTTCTGAGAAAATTCTTAAATATTCAAATTCCAGATGCAATTTGAAGAAGCAGCTCAGATTGTTATATTAATAAAATTTGTTTTAATACTAAATGTAGCATTTTATGGTCAGTTCCTGTGAAATAGATATTTCTAGATATTTTAGAGAATCTTGTCTTTAACTTTATTCCTGAATTTAATTCTTATATGACTATAACTTCTGACCAGGTAACTTTAAAATAAGCTCTGATATTTTGAGTGCTTTAAGTTATTATTTAATGTATAAAATAAACAGCAGGCTGTTTCACAACTGTACTAAATACATGATTCACAGAATTGTCTAACGCTTGTAGTTCTGAGCAGGACTAAACAGCACATTATTTAAGATTTGCTTTCCACTTTAAACTTGTGTGCCTGAAATTAGCAAATGGTTGATCTAAAGGAGCCGCCCAGGCTGGATCCCTCCCACAGTCCTGGCCTGAACCCTGCTGTACACACTCCAGCATCTCCTGCTGACGCTGCCCTGCACCTGCTTGCAGGGCTTGTGCAGGGACTGGTTCCTAGTCCAGTCCTGAGGGCAGACTCCACAGGGTGTGGCCTCCTACACCAGACAAGGCATGGGCAGAGCTGGAATAAGATCTAGTGGATGTCCACACACCTGCCCTCATGGGGCAGGACAGGCCATGGGCCGGGGCTCTAAGGAATAATTGGATATTTAAAACCTGCCTTCCAAGTTGCTATCCAGGTGGGGAGGTAGAACAAAGTTCATTTGAGGCCGGCGCTGCGGCTCAATAGGCTAATCCTCCACCTGCGGCGCCGGCACCCTGGGTTCTAGTCCCGGTCGGGGCACCGGATTCTGTCCCGGTTGCCCCTCTTCCAGGCCAGCCCTCTGCTATGGCCCAGGAGTGCAGTGGAGGATGGCCCAACTGCTTGGGCCCTGAACCTGCATGGGAGACCAGGAGAAGCCCCTGGCTCCTGCCTTCGGATCAGCGCAATGCGCCGGCTGCAGCAGCCATTGGAGGGTGAACCAACGGCAAAAGGAAGACCTTTCTCTCTGTCTCTCTCTCGCTCACTGTCCACTCTGCCTGTCAAAAAATAAAAAAAAAAGTCCATTTGAAAGTTTCTTAGCTTGGTTGGTGACTTTTGTATGTTTCTCAACCTGCCAACACTGACATTTGGATGAAATCTTCCTTGTAGGGGTTGTCCTGTGCAGACACTTCCTCAGACTGTGAAATCTTCAAGTCATCCTCTATTGCCTACATAAAACTCAAGTGTTGGGTAAAGAAACAAAAGGAAGGAAATCAACACCAGATGGGTCGATCTCATCTGAAACAGGATGTCTTAGCCTTGACACTGTTGGCATTTGAGGCCAGGTGATTCTCTGCCCTGAATTCCTGTCCTGTGAATCACAGACTATACAGCAGCATCCTTGTGCTCTGGGTTCAATAGCACTTCGTTCTCACACAAGCTATGGCAACCAAAATGTCCCTAGCAAAATTGTCCCTACCTGACAACTGCCTAAAAATAACAAATCTATTTTTTAAAATGTAAAACTTATAAAATATAACAACATACTGCCATCCTTGAAAGTGTCTTTGTAAGCTTTATTATGCGATGTCCAAGTAGAGACATCCATGAATTCATTCAATCATTCAGTGTGGAGCTCCAGGGTCAGGAAAAGACACCAAGGACATGTTGCTGGACAGGGCAGCGGGAAATCACCACGCTGGCAAAAGTTCCATCCCCGACCCCGCCCCCCCCCCCATCAACGTGTAGTCAATTTGCTGTCTTCCTTGTCAGTTTCAGTAACAATAGAAACAGGCATGAAGATGCAAAGACCTCAATAAAACAAAGCAGGGTCCTGAAAAGCTCCCATTCGTAAAACACAGAGAACCTGCCTGCAATGGAAATCCGTTTTTATTTCCTGTACAGGTGCCAGGTCTGGAGCAGACATCCAATTTATGACTCTGTCAACTGACTTATTAGGGTGGACACAAATCGAGCTGAAATATGCCTGACATACTACAGTCAGGGGATGTGTGTGTGTGTGTTTCACACTTTGGCATGAAGTTAAATTTTCCACAAGGAGACACAGCTCACCAGTGGGATCCAGCAGGGAAATCTTTATCGGGCTCTGCAAAGCCCTTGAAGGCAGGAAAGCGCACCTACTTTTTCCAAAATGCTCCCACCAGACATGCAGTCATAAACCAGAACTCCTCCTTGCAGCAGGTGACTTTGTACCCAACAACTCAAACCTCAACTTTCCAAAACCCCACTGGGAGGAGACTTATCCCCTGTGTATATGCACACTCAGCCAGCGAGCTTTATCACAGATTAACAAATATCAAGGGCTTGCACAAAGTTCACCAAAAGTGCATATTGCGCAAAAATTATGTGTGGATTTCAAATATTTTTGCACCCAAGTACTTTCATCTTTTCATCCCATTTCCCCCTGAACTTTTTGAAGTCCTCTCATGCTAGTTCCCCTTCACTCATTAAGTGTGCATAAACTAAGCAAACAGCCTAAATATAAAAGGACACTAGAATCCTCTCATCAGCAGCTTGTGGGCTTGCACACTTTCCTTCCACTGGCCTGTTTGCTTCACAAATCCCCCAAAGAGTGATTCTGTCTTGGGCCTGAAGGATATCTTTTGGCAAAGGAAAGGCAGCTTATTTTTCTAACTAGTAACACAATGTGTTATGTGTTGTCTGTGACATGTTCTCTCTCTCATTGGAAAGTAATTCATAAATACACAGTTGTTTTAAAATTGAATATTTTTTAAAGACAATTCTATAGTAATGATGACATTAAAAAGTAATCAATAAAATGTTTATTTGGAGATTGAGGATCACAGGTATTTAGTTTTCAAAGTCATCTCAACTGAATTTACCCATCAGTTAAAGTAGAAATGTGACACTGGATGTGTCAGTCTTTCAGGATCTCACTTTAGAAACTGAATTTAAGATATGAGAGGACTAGGAAAAATGGACACTCAAGTGAATTGTCTTTCAAATACAAGTTCCAGCCATCACGAGCATGGGTGATATTGCTGCAAATGGTTACAATTTCAAAGCAACTTTCAAAGTAATGAAAGTTAGTGAACAGCCTTAAAGCTTTAGCTGTGTGTGCTTGCAGATTTGGTCAGATTGTGCAAAGTGGAATTTTGTTTACCCCAATAATACAAGAAATGTATCAGTATTTAAATGAAATAAATATAAGCATCCTTAAAATTCCAGAAAGTTGTAAATATATTGGAAATCTATGAAAAGAAATAAATACGTGTGTATATGTAATTTCTCTGAAAAATTTTGTCATTTATTTATTTCAGAATCCCTCAAACTGACTCAGGAACTTGCACTGCTCTGTGTAATGCTTCTGCCCCTTTTGCTCCATCTAGTGGAATACTGACTTTTGCTACTAATCATACAAGAGATGACATAGTCTTTACCTTCTGTAAGCAAGTGGCATCTGCTATGGTACTTTTAATTATGACAAGATATGTATAAGCCATTAATGCAACTTCATTTCTTTTAACAGTGAACTTAAAACTGTAAATTTTATAGTGTATAATAGATTTGGAAGAAATGTGTTTCCTTTACTCTTTATAAGAAAAGTATTCTCTGCTGAATAAGCACACAAATCCAGGCTAATAAAGAATGAAACTTGCACTCATTAAAGGAGATCATTCTAAGGACACTTTATGAAGTTTTGCAATTAATAACAAAGTATTTATAAGGTACCATAAGTAAAAATTAAGAGGAAAGGAGGCATTCTCCTTAGCAATATAATTAACAAACCAATAGGATTTAAACATTTAAAAAAATTTAAAGTTATTCTCTCAGTTGATAAAACATGATACAGAAATTATAAAGTGTTATGATGACGATTTAAATTTGCTGATCTCTGATTTTGCATAGCGAATAACTGCTTGTTAAGGTCGTCATCCAAAATGCCATGTACTCAGTTTTCTGTGGACACGTCCAGGGCAGCTCTGTCTCAGAGACTGTAGCCTCCATGAAAATCCACAACACGATGTTCTTTATTCTCCTGCCTCACCCCAAGGAGTCAAAAACATTTCAGAAAAGCGCAATTTCCTCCCCTTTAATTTTTTTTGTATTTCATAAGTTGAAACTTTCTTGTTCATAAATGGAAAATTCCATGGCAGCCACAGTCTGTACAAGCGTCCCTATGTATGGCTCTACACAGTAGAGCCAACGACACACCGAAAACTGGCCGAGGTGCACAGGTATTAAGAGTGTGGTGTCCCAAACCTATTTGAAAATTCACCTACTTAAATTATCCCTCCAACCTATTCAATTTGATTTATCATCTGCTGTTTCAACAGAATAAATGAACCCATTAAAAACAAACACACTGTAGATATTTATTTCGAGACTACAACTTCTCTGGGGAGCCTGCAATTCATGGACGCAGAGACACTGGGAGGAAGTAGCAAATTGAAGTCCCGGCATTCTAATGAAGGATTGGAAACTGAGTTCTGCTTAAACAAGCTGCGGGGGAGGGGAAATGAAAGATGTGATTATTTTTTCACTCGTTAACATGTAAGTCAGTAGCCGAATTTTTCACAAGTTTTAAGTGTGCATTTTTTAAGCAGATTTGGAAAATATGTTGTTACATCAAATTTATTGTTGTATGGTCACATAGGCAAGCAACTGATAGAAAAATGGATTATATGCCTATGAGGCACAATGGCTAACAATATGCCAGAGAAATATCTGTTTATAATGACAGGATTAGCTTCTGAGTTACCAGGCTGCCTACTGGATTTCAGAAGAGCGAAACAGATGCAGGCCTGCCCAGAACGTAGTTCTCAGGACAGATGAACTTTTATTACAGCTTATGGTCTGTTCCACAGACTTGTAAACAAGACATAATTTTATCCGTGATTAACATGTTCCCTTCTATGAAGATTTGAAAGCTGCAGCCTCATTCTTTTCTACCAATACAGTCATCACCCTACTAATCTTTAAAATATTTCAAATTTTACGCAATCGTAAGATTGTGATCCTCAAATAAGTGTTGTTTTCCCTCAAAGTCTGCTACTGTATTTGCATGACATGAATGGCAAAGTGGAAAAACATGTTCTCTTTGTTTTCCATTCCTTCTTTTGTCAGAGGCCATATGCCCATTTGGAATTATTAGCCAAATCATAATTCTGTGCAACCAGATTAACAAACAGTATACCGCTATTTTTCTTGCAGTCACGTATTTTAAGGACGTGGCAAGTCCTGTTACCAGTGTAGAAAATGGAATGAGTCCCTGGGAGAGGATATGACCAATGCCGTGTTAATCTACCCCTCAGCTAATCATTTGACCAGGGATTCCCCTTCATGCTGTGGCTTTAGCTGAAATGTTATTTTTAAGAACTGATGTCAAATTCCCCTTCTTGTTCTTTTGCTGAAAGTTTTTTCGGTTTTCTTTATACATTTGGTTTGCTTTTTTTTTTCTTCTTGATAGTAACAAATAAAATATTTTAAAATTTTATTTTTGGATAGTTTGCCTTCCTGGCATCTTTTAGCTCAAAGGCTACAGAGAGTGAAATCCTTTGTAAAAACTTCTTAAAAATTACCAATATTTCTTAATTTAGAATTTTTCTCCACACTTTCCATGAAAAAAAAAAAAAAAGAATACTTTGCTGTCTTCATTCAGAATGCCACTACAGAAACATATTCTCCAAAATCAAGTTCATAACCTTTTACCTTTCTCTTAAGGGGCATCCAAGTTAACAATTATGTTAGTTTAAGCAGTGTTATGAGTAGTGGGTGAAGGAAAAGAACTGGCTGTTCTTTTTTGAAAGTCTGATATGTTATGCTCAGTCTCTCTCTCTCTCTCTCTCTCCCCTTCTCCCTCTCTCTCCTTTTGAGATGCACCTTTTTGCAAAAAAAATTTGATTTATATTTTCCTATGATAACTGTGTCCTTTTTGAGGTCACCCTGCTACTGTACTGAGAATGCATCTTATATTTCTGATACTTACCATGTTTGGTTAAGAGAATCTCACTTATAGCAAAAGAAAAACGTGAAAACAAAGCTGAATCATCCACTCCAAGTGCTGTCTCCGTGACTGTGACATGCATTGCAACTCAGTAAAATCAGTGATGCACCCACAATTGCACCCACTGGGCACTTCTCAGTCATCAAGTGATTTTAACAGTTTATCGGCTGTCTGATTTCTATAATCCTATACACTTAACATTCTCAAAATGAGCTCCGGCAACCAACTGAGTATTTTTCAATAACCATTTTACATCCAAGTCCCTTTATCCCTCGAGTACGCTGAATGTATTCATCATCTCCGTTCCAGAGAGACACGTAGTAGAGGAAGTCGTCTATACTTTTAAATTCTTACTTAAGACAATCTGGGAATTCGTTGCAAGTAGCTTGAGACGTTACGCTCCTCAGAGTGAGACTGCAATATGTAAACCTACAAGCATTTATAAAGAGTCCTTAGCATTGCTATTACTACCACGACTATATACCTAATAACCTACGTGACTCCTAGGAACACTATTGAAAAAACTTTGCTTTTAGGTTTTTGCTTTGTATCTAAGTCATGTTAAGTGATTGTATGAAATTATTTCACCTTTTCTCAGATATCTGTAAGCTTTGATTGCATTTTTTTTTCATCTACCTTGGTTTCTGCCTGGGCGGTTCATACAGACATTCCAAAGCAATGAGCACTGGTCAGAAGTAAAGCTCTTAAAACAGAAAAAGACGCAATGGGTGGGCAACTGGAATGAGAACATTCCTCAGCTCAAAGCATAGACTTCTCCTGGAATTTCTTTCGCCCTCTGCCTCTGTGGTAAATCCTAATGTACTGAAGATTCCGTCTAGTCACTGGTCTCCCTTTTTCGTGCATTTATTATTTGCTCAAAAAAAAAAAAAAAGGCAGATCATTTGCTGATTACAATTGTTTGGCTGCATCTTCATGCAATTTCATCACTTTCATGACAGTAAAAGACCATAATATTTTTGTGAACATTTTCCCATGCACCAGGCATTGCTCCTGCTAAAACCAGGAGAGCACAACCCTTGCTCTCAAGTTGCGAGCAGTCTAGGAGGAAAGGCTAGGAGGGAGGCAGGAAAGTATCACATGGTGATTCCCTGTCTGGGGCAAGCATGGGATCCCATGGGAGTGTAAGTGACGTGGTGTCTAACATAGGATTGGAAAACAGAGAGGCTCGATTTAAGAATATGATGTCAGTGCCGGCATTGTGGCATAGCAGGTAAAGCCACCACCTGCAGTACCAGCATCCCACATGGGCACCAGTTCAAGTCCTGGCTGCTCCACTTCCGGTCCAGCTCTCTGCTGTGGCCTGGGAAAGCAGTAGAAGATGGCCCAAGTCCTTGGGCCCTGCACCCACATGGAAGACCTGGAAGAAGCTCCTAGCTCCTGACTTCAGATTGGCATAGCTCAGGCCTTTGTGGCCAGTGGGGAATGAACCAGCAGATGGAAAACCTCTCTCTCTCTCTCTCTCTCTCTCTCTGTGTGTGTGTGTGTGTGTCTCTTTCTGCCTCTCCTTCCTTCTCTGTGTAACTCTGACTTTCAAATAAATAAATAAATCTTAAAAAAAAAGAATATGATGTCTATGTTCAGATCTAGTGAGTGGTCAGAGTGGCCCACTTGGAAAGGTCTCCAGCACCTGGGACAGGTGGGTAATGGTGGGTAGAAACCCCTTGTGGAACAAAGGGATAGCAGGTGGGAGGCCAGAAGTGTGAACAGAGAGACAAAGTCCTCTGTATCCAGGAAAGGAACTTGTACCTTATCCTCAGGGCAATATAGACCCAGTGAAAAGTTTCTATCAGATTCCTGTGATGCAAATGTGTGGCTGTGTTTGGGACAGTACTGGAGACAGGGGGTAGTACTAAAGACAGATGAGATATTATTAGAGACAGATGGCAGAACCGAGACCCACATGAGATAAAACTAGGGATGATGTTAATACTAACTAATACTCCAGACAGATGGAGTAGTACTAGACAGGACACAGTTAGGAGACCATTGCAGTAATCTGGAGATTTGTGTGACTGGAACAGTGATTTTACATGTGAATTTGATCGATGCAAAATTCAGTCTCCAGTAGACCACTAGATCACAACTCTGGGACAAGCCTGTGGTAGGGCAGGTGAGGTACTTACTTGGGCACAAGGTTTGAGGGGGGTGCCATAAACTCAGTGAGCAAGTGAAATAATAGGGTGACTTTTTTGTGAATGAATACAAGAGATCAACAAACCAAATATACAGTTTAAATAATGACAAGAACATGTATAAATTAAGTAATTCCCTATCCAGCAGGTTGCAGGGTATTCACTCAACATTTCTAGCCATCAAACTCACCCTGGAAGCCGGGAGAGCACACCTGCTGACATGGATGTTAAAGCATCATCCAGACCACCTGGTAGCTTCCCTTTGTGAATCCAGCTGACAATCAGTTCGAGCAGCATCAAGGAAATGAAAATCGGAGTTGCCTGGAAAGAGATGTTGCAATGATTAGTATGAAGTTATTCCACATTTCCTGCGCAGTCTTTCCAGAATCGGGAGGCACAATGTCAGAGGTGCAGCAGGAGAGTGTGTGCACATATCCATCAAGTTCATTCCCTACCCAACAGACTTTTAAAAAAGTCCAGCTCTTTTGGACACACACCAAATGTGCCCAAATTCTATTGCCAATTTGAAAATAAAATGGTTGTGACCATGGTAAGTTATGCCAAGAAAATGGATTAGGAAAGATATATTTTAAGTGAAACACAAAAAATACATATACAATAAGCTAATTCTTCAGAAGTCTTTTATCTACACTTCATGAAGCTTGCTCTAGGAATATACAAAATTCCAGCCTTTTAATTATGTGCTTATTTACTTTTCTTTTTTTAACTATCTTTTTTTTTTACCTATTTTAAGAGTTAGAGTTATAAATATATAGAGAGACAGCGAGAGATAAAGAGAGATTTTTCATCTGCTGGTTCACTCCCCAAATGCCAGACGTTTATGCTAAAATCATCAGAACTACTTCTAATGATGATGTTGAAAGAGTAGGGACAATTTTTTACTGAGAATTCTGATGACAAGGTCATTTTACATATTTAAAACACCATTCAAGTTTTATTCATTCAATTCTGATTAAGTATTCTTCAGGCTCCACTACTGATGTCTCAGACTTGGATTGGGTTTGGTGTTGTAATATAAATCGTAATGATTTATGAAGACACGAGCACCACACTTTTTCACTGAAGACTTGCTCAAAAGTATGTGGGTTTTCCTCATTTTGGAGTTTTGGTTTGGAGTTTTCTAAACAGAACTCCCAAGAACTGATTACGTGATGTCATTTTTGTTTTCTATTTCTGGCCTGCACTAGTCAAGTGTTGTAGGAGCAACTTTGACAGGGTGGAGAATTTCAGTGTTCAAGTTCTAATTCTGGATATTTCCACTTCCAAGCCCAGCCAGGAAGCAGCAGTGAAAAATACCCCTGCATACTTGAGAGTTTCAGAGAAAACTTGGTGCAAGTTCAACCTCGGGAAGGGAGAGCTGGACTCGTCGGGCAGCGCGTCTTACAGCCTGCAGAGCAGCGCCACCAAGTTAACGAGGACACAGTGCACAGGCTGAGCGCTCCAGAATGCCACTGCCACAGTCTACTGACGGCCTCTCCCGCCTGTTCCTCACTGAGCTCCCACCAGCCCGCTTTTCAATGCCACAGTGTCCCAGGAAACTTTCAAAAGCTTGTCATATCCTAGAGTGATTCATAAAGGAGGGCGTTTATACATAAAGACAGCTGTGCCTATGGCTTGCAAATCCAGCCCCATCGAACTGAACGTTAGAATTCCATCGTTTCAAGAATGAGAGCGAACAAATCCGCAGGCTATGTGGCCCTGGTTTTTACAGAGAAAGGAGCCAGAATAGCTTCTCTCTCTCTCTTCCCCACGGGCTCACCTGTTTTACGTAATCCGGCACCTCTTCTAGGGTCTGAAATGTTGTCTCATTGGGCTGTACCATGTAAAACATCACACGGAAGCCCTGGGAGATGGAGCCGGCCTGGGGAGCTCCTGGGTTCCTCATCTCTGCCCTCGGGAGACGCCCAGCTGGAGACTATTTGAGATTCCGTGGTGGAAGCCAGTGGCTGAACAACCAGGACGAGTTGTGCAGCAGAGAACAAGCCCTTTGTCTGCGGACAGCGAGAAACAAAGCTTACAGAGAGGGCGGCCAACGGCAGAGACAGCAAACACAGGGACCGAGGTCCCGTCCAGAGTCCAGCGGGCTCCCTCGCTCACACCCAGGTCGCAGGTGCACAGCGCTGCGCCACCAACTAAGGAAAAGGAAGAGAGCAGGAAAGCCACTGCCGTGCCTTGGAAAGCGAAAGGAAACCAGACGCTGAAAACGCAGGTGAAAGTTCACGCTGAAACACTGGGCCAACATTCCAGAGTCAAATCACAGGAGGAGAGTTCCTTCTCCCTTCGAAAAGTTCATTCGCTCAACGAAAATTATTGAAGTGCACTAGGAAGCAGAGAAAGTGATTGATTAACGACAGACCTGTGAATCCAGTGTAGGTTGAATTCAAAGCACCTACACTTATTAGTATATAATCTGCAGGTGCAAATGTATATATGATTCGTATATAATACCCGTATATAATATTGCTTAAGAATAACATCTCAGAGCTTGCCTGATTTTTCATTGAAGATAGAACAGCACCAACATTTCTGTTTGTTTTGATTCAAGGAAGCAATTTTGATTACATTAAAGATAACTTGTTGGCTGTAAGAAAAAAGAAAAACAAAGTGCACTGGGTTTAAGTTCACAGTCTTTTCATTGAATTGCATTTCCTATAGGGACAAGGTGCCTGCATCTGAGTATTAGCTTGAAAGACAGTGAGCAGTGAGCATTGAACTGGTTATTTATTGCTTGTGTAGTTCTGATTCTGAATCATAACTTCTGAGTGTCTGTTGACCGATTTAGAGGCGTTTGGTGGATGACATAATCTACCTTGTTTACTGGAAGGCTGGCCAGTGACACCCTATTCTTATCACCAGAATGAAGAAGCTGCTGAACTGTTGCTGTGAGACCTTATCTTTGTTTTCCAGAAAGAGCTGAAGTGATTGCACTTTTTAGGTCAACTATAAGGCACCACAGGACCCAGTGAGTTTCACCAGTGAATGAACAGAGCTGTCAAGAATAGCCCTGGATTTGACCCAGAATAATTGTGTTAATCCTGCTTCTACCTCATCTTTTAAGCATGTTTACATGAACTTACTGAATTTTTTAAAGATTTATTTATTTATTTGAAAGGCAGAGTTACAGAGAGGCAGAGGCAGAGAGAAAGAGGGAGAGAGGTCTTCCATCCGCCGGTTCACTCTCCACATGGCCACAACAGGCAGAGCTGAGCTGATCTAAAGCCAGGAACCAGGAGCTTCTTCCAGTCTCCCATGTGGACGCAGGGGCCCAAGGACTCAGGCCATCCTCTGCTGCTTTCCCAGGCCATAGCAGAGAGCTGGATGGGAAGTGGAGCAGCCAGACACATGGGATGCCGGCACTGCAGGTGGCAACTTTCCCTGCTATGCCACAGTGCCAGCCCCAAATTTACTTAAATTAGTAATACATGGTTGTTTTAGGAAAAAAAAAAAGGAAACTAGTTAGGCATCAAGTAAATGACTAGTGAGAAAAGCTATTAACATTGTAAGTGCAGTCAGTTCTGCCTTCATGTGGCATATGTGTTCCTAAAAACCAGAAGACTTCGCAAAACTGTGCAGTAGGAACCATAGGACTTAGGAAAAAATGGGATTAGGGTACAGTAACCAAAAAGTTCATAATTGCTCACAAGGAAAACAGAGATAGAGCCAAATAAATATGGTACATGCTTCCACATGCTACATGGTTGGAAATGCATTAAGGGGCTGGTGCTGTGGCATAGCGGGTTAAGCCGCCACCTGCAGTGCTGACATCCCACATGGGCACCAGTTTGAGTCCTGGCTACTCCACTTCTGATCCAGATCTCTGCTATGGCCTGGGAAAGCAGTAGATGTCCCAAGTCCTCGGGCCCCTGTGCCCACATGAGAGACCTGGAAGAAGCTCTTGGCTCCTGGCTTTGGATTGGCCCAGCTCTGGCTGTTGTGGCCAGTTGAGGAGTGAACCAGTGGATGAAAGATCTCTCTCTCTCTCTCTCTCTTTCTCTCTTTCTCTCTTTCTCTTTCTCCCTCTCTTTCTCTGCCTCACCTTCTCTCTGTGTGTAACTCTTTCAAATAAATAAATAAATTTTTTAAAAATGCATTAATACTGGAGTAAGTATAGCATTTTACCTTGAAAAAGGCCTGGAATGTGTTTGTGGAAAGAATTTGGAAGATTTGCAGATTGTGAGTGAGTGTGGAGTGGTGGGAGGAGAGTTATGTAAAATTAGACAGAAAGTAGTAAGGAACTCATATACAGATACAATGATGTAATCACTCCTAATGCATAATTGAAATGAGAATGCTGGGAGAGGTAAAATGTGTGTGTGTGTGTGTGTGTGTGTTTGCATGCACTTCGTGTGTTTCTAAGATGCCTTTGGATGTCTTTCTATCCACGTGTCCCTCAGATCTTTGCCCAAAGCTTGCTAGCAATGGAAACTTGCCATAGAGTTTTGTCTTCTATGTACTTTACAGGGTACAAGGTGGAGAGGGCCTGAGCTGGGAGAGCCCAGTAGCATGCAGAACCTGAGGGAAGTGCTCACCCCCAGTGCTCGCATTTGCAATTAAGTGCGTACTGAAAGACATCAGATTTCTGCATTGAAATGACAGTTTAAAGAATCTTACTAGGAGTCTCTGGTAAATACTGATATTTGTGATCTAGAAAGAGAAAGCACACCGTTATTTGTTACTGTAAAAAACTGTCAGCCACAGCAGGGAATTGCAGTATTGAGGAAGCAGCTAATGAAAAATGAAGGGTCTTCTAATGGTAGATAAGGTGCTGCCACTACTCCAGGGGCTGGGCTCAGAAACATGCTTGTAGACAGAAAAAGGAGAGAAAAATCGGCCCACCAAGTGTCTTAGCAGAGGCAATTCCCTGCACAACAGCCTGAGCAGGTGCCGGGCAGAAGCTGCTGCTGTCACCACAGATTCCACCCACATTGCGTGATCCTGCCAATGACACACCCAGAGATCCAGAGAAACTCTTTCTTCAACCATGACTGCCCTGGCCCACTCCTGACAGTGCTTCACACCAGGTCATCTGGGAAAAAAAAGAAAAGAAGTGACTACTCAGTTCCTAGGGCAGGCTTAGATACAGCAGTTAAGACTGATTTAGATGCCCACATCTTAGATCAGTGCCACATTCAAATCCTGGCTTTGTTCCTAATTCCAGCTTTCTGCTAATATGTACCCTGGGAGGCAACAGCTGATGGCTCAAGTAGCTAGGTCCTTTCCACCCACACGGGAGACCTGGATTGAGTTCCAAGCTTTTGGCTTCAGCCTAGCCCAGCTCTGGCCATTGAAGGCAGCTGGGGGAATGGACCAGCAACTGGGAGTCTTCCAGTCTGTTGGTCTCTCTTTCTATATTTGTCTCTCAAATTCTCATAATAATGATAATGATGATGATAATCATGATGATTCAAAAAGAACCATGGATCGGGCAACTAAGTGTGAATCAGATGATGAAAGCCAAGATATCTCTGAGGACCACAGGGCAGAAGGATCTTCGGTAATTACAGTCAACGTTAGCATCCCCAATGCACAGAATACTTTGTCTCGACACTTATGAAGCTATAAATCATTTAAAACTCTTTTCTGGAAGATGCTCATTGTGAGGAAGTGGGAGTAAAGGGGACTCAGAAATTGGAGTTGTGCATTTTCTTTGGTATCAAATATTTCAGATTCAAATTAAGCCTGGGTTGACTCTGACTTTTTTCTTTTTTCCTAAGTCATCCATTTCTGCTTCCCAGCTAATTGAAGGATGGTGTGTGTCTTAGAAATTAAGTGACTTTAGTGTGAAATCTGGGTAGACTATCTTGAAGACAAAATCCTCCATCAACCTCAGGTCTCAATCTTCCTTTGCTTTAGGGAATTTTTCCACCGCTCTAGTTTTGTCTATCACTTCCGTTCCATTTCTATTCCCTTACCTTTCCTCACACATGGGATGTATCTGTGTGTCAGAGCTCATTTGTCTTCCACATCATCACACTCGCATCGTCTCCATTTTCATCTCTCTTTTTGCCCTTATCTTCTCTGATATCCCCAAGCCTACCTTTGGGCACATTTTTCTCCACAGATTGCAATCTTCCTTCTAATTCTGCTTCAGATTCTCCAATGATATTATTTGCTGTCTTAAATCCTTGCCTTAACTCTTGTGGTTCGTGGTTCCCCTTTTTTGTTGATTTCTTTCCTTGGCACTTCATTTGTCCTCAAATATATTTCCTAGGTAACTCTGTTGAGTGTATGAAGCAGTTAACCCTACAAGGATCTTAGCTTCCCAGGGGGCAACTCTGCAAAGCATATTCTTCATCTATTTTTGTCAAGCACTTCCTTCTCCCAAATGCTCAGCATTTTTTTAGCCAGGATTGGGTGTGGTTCTTTCATGTCCCTTCTACCACCCAAGAAAAACAGACAGAAATATTCCTGGGACTTCTGCTATTTGAGGCACTGTGAAGCTCAGGGCTGTTCAGGGTCATCTCTTCTCATTGCTCTAAGGTGGGCAGGTGGAGGAGGGAGTGGGACTCTGAGCACTTGAGCCTGTGCCTGCACCTTCTAAGTGAGGCGTGGCCACTGAGGGAGCGGGGCTCTTCCTTCCTTGGTTTGGTCCTCGTTGGCCTCTGTTCCAGGCATAGAAAAAGGCTGTTTTAAATCTTCTTCCTGTAGTTTTTTTGTTTCCAAGGGCAGCTGTGAGAGCACCCAGTCAGAGCCCTGGCTGTTGCTTTGGAATCATTTGATAAATGGAACAAAAGAATCTTGTCTGGAAGAAAGCTTTCAGGACCAGGGGCTTGCAATTTTTGCAAGACCTCCTGTAACGACTCCCTGCTCCACAAATGATCCCAACCCCTCTGCTGCCACTGGCCCTGATGGGCAAAACGACTCTGAGCAGCATAGTTCCAGATCAGCTCTAGTTCTCACCGTCAGTCCTGACCGCACACAGATCACAGCAACCGTGCTCTACAGAAGAAGAAAATTGCTTGTATGAAACTAGGCTGGCATGGGTGAGTGGCGCAGCGATGAGATCCCTGCTTGCGATGTCCACACCCTATGCTGCAGTACCTGGTATCTGTCCCAGCTCCTCTGCTTCTGGTCCAGGTTACTTCTAATCTGCATCTTGTGAGACAGCAGGTGATGGCTCAGGTGTTTGGGTCCCTGCCACCCATGTGGGAGACTCAGATTGTGCTCCA